GTCTTTAAGAAGAGGCTTGATGCCTACCTGGCTGGACTCATTTGAGTCCAGTTTTTCTCCCGCCCAGGCGGCGGGTTGGACTTGAAGATCTACAAGGTCCCTTCCGACCCTACTTCTATGATTCTATGAAGATTTGTAGCCCAAATCTCTAAACACTTCAAAAGTGAGAAGACCCAATGCAACCATTCTTCAAAAGTATTGCTTTTTTGCAATATTTTTGGACATGCATTTTGATTGTTTGTGTTCAACAACAAACTCTGTCGTGACCTAGATGCTTGAACTGGATCCCTGTACAACAAAAGCTTTGGATGCTTTCTCATATTTTTCATTCTTAAAGCTCGTCTATATATAACAATTCTTAAGTAGAGCTGTAGCAGAGTAACTTTGGTTACAGCTTGCTGGTGTACAACTACATTGCAGACATTCAATTCTGGAATAAAACTGACACTTACAGAGCAAGTGTACATGAGGTAGTTCTGCTTGGAATAATTTAATTTGCTGTAGTTAGACTGGTCAGTTCTGCTATATAGACAAACACTTTATGGACACTTTTATACCTCGGTTCTGCTTCAGCGCTAGTTCTTTCATACGCTTTCTGCACACTGTTATGTTACTACATAATGGCAGATATCAAAGGGGTCTTTCACTTATAAGTAAACATGGCAATGGGTGTGCTAAGCATTTTTTCGGGCTAAATGGAAGGAGCGATTCAATGTCCTTTATGTAGTCATAACTGGAAATAATAAGAGGCTATTGCCCAAGGCATTGAGCTGCATGGTGAAGTCTGAGCTGGGTGAAGTTGTGTGGTCTGAAGGGTATACTTGGGACTAGTCGTAAATGCAGAAACTAAGAGATTGCTTGGCAAATTGCATGCATTAGGAGTTGTAACTAGCCAGAAAATAATTTTGAGTGCAGCCCCAAGAGAGCTCCCTGAATACAGAAGTGATTGGAGGGGGAGAGGGAAAATAGTTAGCAAGGAAACTGTCAGCTGTTATTTTGTTTTTACTGGTTCAGGTGAAGCAGGACTTTTGGCACTCTCTTTGTGAAGGAGAAAAAAAGTAGGATTACACCAAAGAATTGATCCAACTTCTATCCTAAAGGAAAGAACCCTGCAAGATCCTAAATATAGGCCAATCACTTTTATCAGAAAGCAGTTTTGCTGTTGGTGTTGATGCAGAATATTCAAGGACAGAAAGTGCGAACTGATACTCTTGTTGGAAGATGGAAACAATAATGGAAAAAGCTACACTGGCCAAAAAAACTGTAAATGAGTTGGTGGTTTCTCCATACTTTGTGACTTTTTAGAGAGGACCACGGTAACTTGCAGTCATGAAGAAAAACTTTGGGGCACAAGTTGAAGGCCTAACTACAGAGTTCCAAGTGTGAACTTGTAAAATGGATAAATAAGATGATAAGCAACTCACAGTGAACCAAAAGGCTTCACAGGCAAAGGGGAAGGTCATGAGCACGTTGGCCAACTTGAAATTTGTCAATAGAAATGAAATGCAACAGGGATTTCAGGAGAAGGGTTGCAAAGGTTGCATACCATGCTGGAAGCCCACTGTCTTGAGAAATCAAGCCAGCCAGAGAAGTTGGACAAGACATTTTTAATAGGGCATTTACAATGTTTGTAAACCTGGGAGACCCAGAGGGGACAGGCAGGAACATTTCAGCTGAGATCCGGCAAAAAAAACAACCCCACTATCTTTTAGGAAAAAGTTCCCTGGGGGTGCTTATTTGGCTCAGCTTAATGTTACAGCTTAAATGAATGGTCTGGGGCATGAGCAGGGGAAAGGGGCATTTTGAGCAGCCGTCCTGCATAATTCATCTTTGATGCTGAAGAACTTATCCTCCATGGCAAACAGTAACCCAGATTTGGTACAAGTTCTGGATGTGCAATCTGGTGACAAACGACTATTTGAACTAGGACTTAAAAAAAGAAAGAGATCTCTTTGAACTGGCAGAGGGTCTGAGGAGTTGTGCCTTGTGTTCCTGGCATATCCATATCCCTTAAATATGTCTAAGTAATTTAGCAATGGATCAATTTATAGATACCCAACTGACTTCATATTCTGGAGCAAGGTCAATGGAAGCAGGCCAAGAAGCCAAGGCTGTGGGATTTGCCACAAAACTTAAAATCTTCCTGTGGCAGCCCACCAGGAAAGGAAGCAGCTGCTTGCGAGGCAGATGGAAGCTGAATGCCTTGGATCCTCTTAAATAAAGATGGGTACCTAATGTGCATGAGACAACAGGTTTCTAACTCTGGTTCACAATGAATTTTGCACAGTTCAAAGTTTTGCTAATGGGTTTCATAAATCAAGGGGTATTGGTAATAATGATACAAGTGGAGGGAAGCAATTCAGTTCAGAAAAAAAGACTCACAAAAGGCTGGTCAAACTCTCCGGCAAGCCAGGACAGAACATCCACTGTGTCTAATTAAAGTTCCTCACTCCAGCTGGGGAATGTGTGGTCCACCCACCTGGAGTCACAAAGCTGGGAAGTCCAAGCACCAGCCTCCAGCTTTCGTTTAGGTCTCAACACTTAAACAAAAATAAGAGAAATTTAGCTAGTAAGCACGAGATGCACAAGAATCGCAGACATTGTATCAAATCTCATTTTTGACCAGAGCTGCTAATGGAAGGTCCAGAACAGAAGTATTTACTTGGTCTTAAGTAAAGAATAGTGACTGAGGAAATGGGTATCCGTTCCAAAACTGGGGAAGTGGCTTTTGAAAATGGAACATTTAAAAAAATCTCAGCAGGAGGTTTGGACAGCTGAGAGAGGGGATGAGCCACTAAATTATTTGAATTTCATTCTGGCTTGATAACTTAGAGCCAGGGAAGGTGTCTGAACTGAGTCTGCAGACATTCCCTGTAGAGCGGTGGCCAGGCAAAATGAATTATGTGAGCAATTGTTTTGCAATGAGCAGGCTGCCCCGATTTGCCAGGGAAGAAAGCATTGTAACAGCTCTATGCGGTAGTAGCTGTGCAGTGAGGAACACCTGGAAAATGGTTGAGATTTGTAAGGTATCAGGGGAATTCAAGCTGCTCAAGTTCTTAAGGATCTGAAGCAGATTTGTGGTTGTTTGTGAAATGTTTCCAGCAAACAGCAAATAATAAGAAAAGGAGGCAGCACCATTGCAGAACGTGAACCAGTGGATCTAGTATATATCGGTACAGAAGATCACTGGGAAAGAGAGAGGACTGAAAACAAATCCCAGGATTTTCTTATCGAACCCTTCCAAAAAAGAGATGAACCTTTCTTAGCTACTCAGTCAGTGAAGAGGAAATTTCCACTGACCAAAACCAAAACTGGGCTTGCAAAAATAGTGAATTCACAAGATTTTGTTGGGCCTTGCTATCACCAAGCACTTGTTTGTGTGCTTATCAATGTTGCAAAACCGCTGTGTAGATTAGGTGGGGAGAGGGAACTATTGCAGTGTTCATTGTGGCTCAGCTTTGTTGGGCTCGAGGACTCTTGGGAGTGCTCTTGGTGTGGGTGTGGACACGCAGGGTGTGCACAGATGTAACACTTGAACTGTTCCAAGAATGTCACTGATTGTCCAGCGAGATTGGTGAACCTTTCCCCCAAAGCGTCCACACTTACGTATGCTGCCAAGGGCCCTACGTAGAACCATTGCCTTTCATTGCTGCCCAAAAGCCACCAGGGGGTGGTGCAGGACCCAGACCATCATGCCTTCTAGGGGGCAGTGCCAGGGTTTCTCCAGGCTTCCTTCTAGTAGGGAAGGAAGACCCCAATTAGGACAAGGGTGAAAGGGTCACCAGTGTTTCTTGCCCACTTCTGGGCTGCCACAGCTGCTTTCCACCCAACCCACAACCCAGGCCTCAGTTTCCCTGCTTCACCTACACAGCCCACGCCTGCCACACTACTGAACTCTGCGTGGTGGTACCAGGCCCAGATGTGTGTGTGTGTGTGTGCGGGGAAATGGGGACACCCTGCTTCATTCAGGGGTTGGCTGCTTCCCGCAGGCTCTGCCTCATGTGGCAGCTTCAAAAGGACTTTCCCTAGAAACTCTGCAAATTTGGCACCCTGACGATAGGGGTCATTACCCCTATCGCAGCACTTCATTTCCTTCTCCTTACTTCCTGTTGGAGGAAAAGTGCCCAAATTGTTACAGAGAAGTATGAATATAGACCTCCTGAAGTTCAGTGGATGATCCTAGGACCCCAGGGTTGGACTCCTTCAGCACCGATGTCGGAAAGGGCAGCAGGCGGAGAGCCCGAGGGTGACCCCAGCTCTGGAGGGGGGTCCTTCCCAGCCACTTGATTTCCATAACGTCAAAATACTTCACTATCGCGCTGCAGCGCTTGGTGCTTCCCTGTGAACAGCAGAATGAAGGTGGAAAGGTTCAAATGCCTGGGTCGGCCCCTATCGAAGCAGGCCAGCTGGAGTTCACTTTCACAACCACTTAATAAAAAGGAAACAAAAAACCCAATGTGACCAATAAGTAACTTAATAACTTGGTAAACTTCCCCCTTCTGCTTGTTGTCTATCCCAACACCATGTGATGTCGGGCTGAAATCCTCTGAGCAACACCAGCTTTTAGCTGTCTGCAAAGTGCTGGATGCAGAGTGTGTGTGTGTTTATTCATGGGGGGGTGTCTATATATGTATATAACACGCACACGTATATAGACATATACACACACACATACACACGTGTATGCCTGTGTGTGTATATGTACACATGTATGTGCGTGTTTTTCTATACAGGTGTATGTGTGCGTATGTGTGTGTGTGTTTATATAGCTACATATGTGTGTTTATATACATATATATACACATGTATATGTGCATATATGTGTTTTATATACAGGTGTGTGTATATACACACACACATACAGATGTGTGTATATATGTATACCTGTGTGCATCTATATACGCACGTGTGTGTGTCTATCTGTATATGGGTGTGTGCGTATCTACATGTGCACTTCCATGTACGGGGACGACACGAGCTGGGCCCGGGGGCGCTGCTGTCCACAGCGCTGTCGCCCAGCGGCCCTCCTGCTCCACATTACATATGTCTTTCGTTCAAATTTTCCGTTTTCCCAGGCAAACGAGCCCAAAAGCCCCCGCTCCACCCCCGCAAGGCGGTCCAGAGCCAGAAGCGGCCCCGCTGCCGGCAAGCACCGCGCCCCCCCCCGGCTTCAGGTGTTTCCAAGCCCGCGTCCCAGCGCGGCGAGGGGGTCCGGATGCCCCGCGTTTCCCCCGCCCCGCCCCG